GGAGGTGCGGGACCCCCGAAAGCGGTCTGGCCACCAGAAATGGTGGTCAGGGCGCGTGTAGGGGGCGGGAGGCCAGTGCCGACGATGTAATATTCCGTCGGCCCGTGCCATATGATGCTCCTCTGGGGGAACTCGGAGGCCCCCCCTTTCCGGGGGGATGCGGGCATGCCCGGGCACCGTACAGAGTTGTGGGTTTGAAACCACAATGACGTATACTTCTTCATCTAACAACGACCAAACGGACACGGAACAATGTAAGACGACCCTGGCTATGAACAAGGAAACGAGTGGAGCGGCACCAAGTTGCTCCCATCAGAGAGCAACCACAGTTGCTGCCACAAGAAGCCAACCTGATGGCAGGCAGGTGGCAAGGAGGGAGGGACTAAGAAGTGCCAAGTCCCAAAAAGTCGTGAAGACTGATAACAGGGATAGGTCGAGATCCCCTATCGAATCCGTTGGGTCCACATCCGACCTCACCTCACAGGAGGGCTGGGATGGTGAAAGTAAAAAAGAGGGGAAATGGGATATCCCCAGAAAAGAAAATGGTGAGACGGATGAAGAACGTTTCATCGCGAAAGCAACAAGAGGAAGAGGAAGGACAGAGACAACCGGTGAATACCGGAAGAAAAAAGCCTTCATGGCCAAGAGAAAAGCCTACCTAGAAAGGGTCAAGGAGGAAAAATTAATAAAAGGGATGGAAAACCCGGTTGAAAAATTCAGAGACTGCTCTCTGAACCGCAAATATAAAACCGAGGTAAACAGATTCATAGAAACCTAGATGAGGCCCCATTCAGATATCTGTCTGCATCTGTACAAGAGGCAGCTATGGAGATTTTTGGCTTCTCAGTGAAGTCCAAAAATCTTAAAGGAACTTATGTCAAAGTACTCTGAGATGCGGCGGCCGCCATCACGGCGGGCACTACTCTAATGGCAAAACATATGGCCAGAGACCAATGCGGGCAGAATCTCGATATAATCGAGGAAATGAAGGCTGAAAATGCGGAACTTAAAACAGCATTAAGCGACGTCAAGAAGGAACTAGAGGAGGTGAGAGCAACGTTACGGAGTATAAAGGAGGCGCCACTGTCAACAGTGGCGTCCTCCTCGCCTCCGGAACGACCAGGAAACATAGACGGGAATATAAAGGAAGCACCGCGATCAATTGCGGTACCCCCTCGCCTCCCATCTATGTAGAGGATAGGAAAGAAGAAAGGGGAAAGGTAGGAGGTAGAATTACCCTCCCGCTTCTAGATATGATGGAAGTAGAAGAAGAACCTATCGGCGTGATAGAAGTACAAAGAAGACTAATACCGAAAGGGAAAACACATCCGATAGGAAAGCCAAAGGAGGAAGCCAGGGTCGCCAAGACTGAGACTACGGGCCCCAGGATAAGGGAGAATGTTCCACTCAATAGGAGGGTAAGAGTGGAAAGAATGGAGGAAAAAAAGGAAGACGAAGAGGACAATTTAGAAGGAAAGGTCACCAAGATGGTGCTTAAAGCATTGGGAAAATGGGCACCACAAATAGGAGAGGATAAGAAGAAAGAGGAAGGAAGGAAAAACAAAAAGGAAACTGCCAAGGGTAAAGGAAAAGGTAACAAGAAAAGAAAAGTAATGGGAACAATATCGGAGGGCCAACCCAAAGTCCAACTCCCCGCGAGAAAGGACAACAGACAAACCCAAGTCCCGATACCCCGAGGAGCAGAATATCCGACACCGGAGGAAAACAAGGAGGGAATACCTGCACCTACTCAAGAACTATGGTCTAAAGTGGTGGGGAGGAAAGAAAAAAGAGAGGCGAAGATGGAATAAAAAATACAGGCATCAAGTAGGATGGGAAAAGAGGGAAATGTAGCAACAAAAGAAGGAAAGAAGGTCAAACGAAAAGTCCCTAATACGGCGGCGGTCACCATCACCGCAGATAAAGACCACTATAAGGAACTACTCGCCGAGGCGAAACTGAAAATTGATCTGACGGGAATAGGGATCGAAAAAATAAAGACTAGAGTTGGGGCAACCGGGGCACTAGTCCTTGAAATCTTGGAAGAAGAAAGAGGCAAGCAAGCCGATGTCCTAGCAGAAAAACTGAGAGAGGTGTTCACTGACAGGGCAAAGGTGAGCAGACCAAAAAATGGGTGAAATAAGAATCAAGGGATTGGAAATTTCAACTTCTGAAAAAGAGGCAGCCGAGGGCATAGCAAAAGTAGGAGGGTGCGAGGTTACCGACATCAAAACGGGCAAGATAAGAGCGGCTCGAAGCAACTTCAGAACACTATGGGTCCAGTGTCCCCTCCTAGCGGCCAAAAAAGTGGTAGAAAAAGGAGCGATAAAGATAGGATGGACGCAAATAAAGGTAGAACTGTTACAAGGGAGGCCGTTGCAGTGCTACAGGTGTCTCGAAAGGGGACACGTGCAGCAAAACTGCACAAGTAGCAACAATAGAAAGGACAACTGCTATAGATGCGGGGAACTTGGTCACCTGGCTCGAGACTGTGAGGCTAGAGCCAGGTGCCAAATTTGTGCAGACGCAGGAGTCCAATCAGGACATAGAATAGGTGGACCAGCCTGCCGCCCTTCCCCAGGGAAAAGGAAGGAACTGAGAGGAGCAGTGGAGAGGAAAACGGAGTCCGCACCGAGTCCGCAAGACCCTCCTGCTCCTCTCGAGAAAGAGGAAGAAGGGAAGAAATTGGAGAAGGGAGAAGGGGGTGGGATTCTGGAGTTTCCACCCCCACTTCCCCAAAGAGAAAGAGTCCCTCTCTTGAGAAGCGAACAAGCCGAGACTGAGGAAATGGAAGTCGACGCCAAAAGAGGAGAAAAACGCCTGTGTCCGAAGGAGAACACGGAAAGTGATGAGGGAGACCAACCGGGCGGAAAAGTAGTCATAAATCCAAAGGACCAGTAATGGATACTAGGCTACTACAAGGAAACTTGCACCGCGCCCACCAAGCTCAACCACTGTTCGATCATACAATGGCGGAGCGCGGTGCGGGATTAGGCATAGCGGCAGAGCCCTACCGTGTCCCCAGAAACCACCCAAGGTGGTTTGGGGACGACTTGGGCTCTGTCGCTATTGTATGGAGAGCGAGCGATAGCTCACCCCCCGCAACTTTTGTGGGTTGCGGAAGGGGTTATGTCGTGGCCAGGTGGGGGGTAATCACCGTGGTCGGGATATACCTCCCCCCAGCAAAGAGCCTGGACCTGATTGCGTACAGGTCCAGGCTCTAAGAAATGGGAGATGCCATTCGAAGGTATCTCTCAGGTCCTGTCATCGTGGTCGGAGATTTCAATGCGAAATCAGAACTGTGGGGATCCCGGCGCGATGACAGGCGGGGGGAAGTAACAATGGACTGGGCCGCGGGCCTAGGTCTGCACATACTTAATAAAGGAAACAAATCCACGTTTGTAGGGTCGCGGGGGGAGTCAATTATTGACCTGTAATGGGCAACCCCCGCGGCCCTGAGAAGAGTGCGGACCTGGAGGGTGGCGGATGAGCTTGAGACTCTCTCGGATCATTTCCTTATAGAAATGGAGCTATCCGTCACCCCCAATGGCTTGCGGCCAGACCAATGGAAGGAACCTCGACCCGGAAGGTGGTCCCTGGCCCAACTCAGTAAGGAGAATTTAGAAATCTCCTTAGAGGGCTCCACCTGGCCACGGCAAAGAGAAGGGCAGGACTTCGACTCTGAGGTCATGGAGGTAATGGAGATACTCGCACTAGCGTGCGATGCCTCCATGCCCAGAGTCAGGTCCTGCCCAAAGCGGACCGCCTGGTGGTGGACCGACCATATTGCTGCGCTTAGGCGCAGGTCGACCCACCTCAGGCGAGAGTTCCGCAAGGCGCGAAATAGGCAAAACCCGGACCCTGAGGCCACTCTGGCCGCCCGGAAGGAATTTTGTAAGGCAGCAGTAGAGCTGAGAGAGGCCATAGGGGCGGCCAGAGGAAGAGGGTGGGACGACTTCCTCCTCTCATTGGATGCGGATCCGTGGGGGCGTCCATACAGAATGGTAATGTATAAGCTGAAACCACGAACGCCCCCTCTGACGGTGACGCTTGACCCCCGGTTCCTTGGGCGGGTGATGGGAGTTCTCTTCCCATGTAGAGAGAACGATCCCATCAACCCGCACATCATTCCATCCCCCGAACAGCAGGAGGAGGTGCCAGGGGTCACAGAGGAGGAGGTGGCCGGGGCTGTCAAAAAGGTCAAGAGCCGGAAAGCTCCTGGACCGGATGGCATCCCCGGCCGAGTCCTCACCCTGGCCTCAGGATACATGAACGGTAGGTTAGCAAGCCTATTTACGCGCGCCTTAAAGGAGAGAAGGTTCCCCCCAGTCTGGGGGAGGGCCAACGTCGTCCTCCTCCAAAAAGAGGGCAAACCGGAGAACTCCCCCTCCGCGTACCGGCCCATATACCTCCTAGACGAGGCGGGCAAGCTCTTTGAGCGAGTTATAGCTGCCCGCCTCCAGAGGCATATGTCTCAGGAAGGTCCTGATCTCAGCGACGGCCAATACGGCTTCCGAGAGGGAAGATCTACCATAGATGCAATTTCGCATCTTAGGTCCCTCTCGGAGGCCATCGTGACGGAGAACAGGGTGGCGGTTGCAATATCGCTCGATATTGGAAACGCATTTAACACCCTGCCCTGGGGTAGAGTGGTGGAGGCAATGCGGAATTATTTCTGCTTCCCACCCTACCTCACAGCCGTCGTTGAAGATTACTTCCGGGGTCGGCGTCTGACTTAGATGGACGCCGACGGCGCGGTACGCGAGAGGGGAATGAGTTGTGGGGTTCCACAGGGCTCGGTATTGGGCCCGCTGCTGTGGAACCTCGGTTACGACTCAGTCCTCCGAACAGCCCTCCCCCTCGGCTGTAGCATTATATGCTATGCAAACGATACACTCGTCTTGGCCGGGGGGAACGACTGGGGGATGCCGTACACACGACAAACCTAGCGGTGGCAGGAGTTGTGCGCTCCATCCGTAGCCTGGGCTTGGTGGTGGGGAATGGTGGCTGAGAGAAAAACAGAAGCCATTTTCTTTCATCCCAAGGGATGGAAGCCGCCCCAGGCCCAGGTGAGGATAGGTACAGTCAGGGTCCCGTTAGAGGCCCAGATGAAATATCTGGGCCTCATATTGGACGGCACCTGGTGTTTCAGAGAGCATTTTAACAGGCTGGTCCCCAGACTTAGGGTAATATCTGCCAGATTGGGCAGGCTTATGCCCAATGTCGGGGGACCAGACGGGAAGGCTCGTCGCCTCCACGCGGGAGTTTTAAATTCGGTGGCGCTCTATGGAGCGCCGATATGGGCGGAAACCCTGGCCGCCAGTCGCCCTATGCGAGCGCAAATGCGCAAAGTGCACAGAGTGTTGGCGGTCAGGGTGGCAAGATGCTACCGTACCGTATCCTGCGTGGTGGCGACGGTCCTGGCGAGCATGCCCCCCATGGAGCTCATGGCCCTGTCGTACAGGCATACGTACGGCAGATAGCGTGAGCTCCTAAGAACGGGGGGGGGCAGGAGAACCGCTCGCCGGGGCTGTACGAAACATGAAGTACCAGGCTCGACAGGTCCTCCTCCAGAGATGGGAGAGATTACTGGCAAATGCCAAATACGGGAGGAGGACAGTCGAGGCCGTCCGGCCTTTCCTACAGGAATGGGTAGGAAGGGCCCACGGGATCCTGACATTTAGAATGGCACAGGTGCTCACCGGGCATGGATGCTTCGGTGAGTGCCTGTGCCGTATAGGAAAAGAGCGCACGACGTCCTGCCACCATTGCAGGCACGATCATGACTCCGCGCAATATACACTCCAGGATTGCCCCGCCTGGAGCGTTGAGCGCGGAGTCATGATCCGGGAAGTAGGCCGGGATCTATCACTTCCGACTATAATCGGGGTGATTCTCGAAAGCGAGAAAAAATGGGACGCATTCTCCTCCTTCTGCGAACTGGTCATGACGCAGAAGGAGGAGGCAGAAGAGTTGAGAAGAAGGGCAGAAGGAAAGGGGAGGAAAAGAAGAAGACGGGAGAGGCATCGTCTATGGAGAGGGGGGAGGAGCAGGAGCAGGGAGGGGGACGCATCCTCATCAGAGGAGGATGCACTAAGGAGGATGTTGGCTCCGCCACCACCTCCACCCCCTCCCCTTCCTACCCCCCTTTGCTACAAACAGGAAGGGCCCAAGGAGGCAAAACGCCCCCCACAGGGCAAGTACGAAAAGGAGAGCTACGAAAGGTGGAAGGGGGATTGCAACAGGAACGGTTGCACCGTTACCCTTCATCTCCACGGTGACTCCGACAGACGGAAGGACAGGGAGGAGACCAGGACTTCGGCCCCGACCTCCTAACCGTAGTCCTCCGACTCCCAGAGTAGGAGTCGGATGAAAGTAAGGGGGAAGAGGATGCCAGTGATGTTCTCACTGGAGAAAACACTTCTCTCCCCCCTACTAGCAAGATCCAAAGATAAAGAACATGAAGGAAAGGGGGGGTCATTAGGACCCTCCTCTCATTTCTCTGCGGAGGTGGGAGTGCCCGGCGGCTAGGGGACCTTTTCCCCCCGTAACCCCCGGGCGGGAGGGTGGGGCACCGGGCGGGGATTCCCGGTGCCCCAACCAGCCCTCCAACGTAGGGCGGCCGGCTGAGACGGCGGATCAGCCTGCCGCACAACATGTATTGGCGGCGCCTCGTCTGGTCAGGAACGGTGGTTGAAGCGGACTTCGGCAGGCTTCCCTCTTCCTGACCGAAGAGACGAGGCGTGAGGGGTGGGAAAGGGGAGCGGTGGTCGAAGCGAGCCCTCGGGCTGGCTTCCCCCGTCCCCTGGGGGAGCGGTGGTCGAAGCGAACCTTCGGATTGGCTTCCCCCTCCCCCACCCTCCCCTCAGGGACAGAAGGCGTAAAGCCTGGACTCGAGGCCTCGATAAGCAGTTCGGCCCCGGGGCCCCGATTCTAGTCCCTTCGCAGCGCCACCCGGGGAGGTTTTAGCTGGTAGGAGTCCGGCATAATCCTGGCCCTTCCCCGAGGGTCAGGGTATCCATGATGGATTTCCTCCTCGTCCAAAAAAAAAAAAAAAGTGAAGTTTTCTCGCGAAGGGGTTGCAGCTCAAAAATCGAAATGCGCGTATTTTAAGAGTTTATTGTTGGAATTTACTCGCTACATCCGCAATGCGATGTATTTTTATTTTTTTATACCTTCTCCTTAAGTTGAACAATTTAAGGGTTGTTTCGGGATTAAGGGGATGAGCTCCAAAATCGAAACTGCATCACTTCGAAAGCTCATAATTAGCTTCTAATTCTGCCGCAAAGATTTATTCGATATTTTTATTTTTAAGTGAGTCAACGTTGACTCAGCCCCCCCACAAATAATATTTAATTCCAACCTACTGTAACGAGCTCAAAATTTTTGATTTGCGGGATGTGAGAGCTCATAAATAGCTCCTAATTATGCGCTATTTGTTTTTTAATTTTTGCATGGCGGGGGGGCTAGCTCAACAGAGGTGATTCTACCGCGTCACGAAGCGACCGCAGCGTCGGGTAGCGAGCGCGCATAACCGACTCCAGCGCAACGGTCAACGCGCGTTGCAGCAGCGCGTGGTTGTTCACCGTTGGGTCGACGCGCGCGAAGAAGCAATTGACTCGACGTTCCGCGGCGCTGTTCTTGGCATTGAACGGTGTCGTCGTTGCGTTCAGGTCGACAGTAGCGTCATAGTAATGTCGCAGCGACCGGATCGCAGTCGGATCGACGTAGCGCCGGTCGTTGTCTCCGTTGCGCCTTCGCCCCTCGAAAGCCGATCGCGTGCTCGACGCTCGACGTTCGCCCTCGAATAACGAATCGCGCGCGTTCGCCATCGGTTCTGGCTACGGCGCTAAGCGTTCGCAGCGAATAGCGCAGCGACCCCTCGCTCGTCGGATCGTACGCTACGATGATCACATCGACGCTGTTCGCGTAAGCGATCGCCAAATGATCGAGCGCGCGATTCGAACACAGATCCACTGACGTGTCGTACAACTCGTAACCCACCAGTACGCGCATGCACGAAGCGCACGCGTCGCGCCTTCGTTGCCGCGATCGTCGCCAGCGGAGCACCGCGTCCGCGTAGCACGCGTCTCGCACCAATTCGTTCTGCAACAACGACGAATCGTTCGTCGCGTCGGTGTCTAGGAACGGAAATCCCTCGACGCCCGTCGTTGACGATTCGTCGTTGTTGCAGAACGAGCCCGAAGCGAGGGCTTCGGTCCGTTGACATCGGCGCGCCACGAGCATTTCTTGACACTGCAGATGTCTCGATTCCACGACGATGGGTCGCGTGGCGCAATGTCGCGACGTTCTCGTGACGACGTCTTCGTCGTCCAACAACAACAGATCTCGCAACACCGAAGTCTTGCCACTGTCCGGTGTTCCCAGAGTGACGACGCGCAAACGACGCGATCGCGTGGGATTTCGCGCGCGACGCATGGTCGTGATCGCTCTGTCCCACCAACGCATGATGCGGTTTCGCGCGCGCTGCGACGTCACTGTCTTAAGTCACGAGAGCACAGCGCGTGTTTCTCGTCGATGTCGCGCGGCGCTCGATCGACGACCGGATGAGAGGTGTGAACGTTACTGGTCCGTCGTCGTCCGCGGTTCCTCGCCGGACAACGTTGCCGCGGACATGTGGAATATACGATACAGCGTGAAGAGCATTTCGCTCAGTCGCTCCAACGTCACGATGCCTATCTGCGTCTGCCACAGATCGAAGAGATACACGAAGAGTTCACGAATTTGAATCGCCGTTAGTTTGGCGCGAAACAGATGACTCATCGCTTGCACCAGTAACACCGATTTAGCCTCGTGGCACGCGTCGGCTTTGGTGGTCGTCAACGGTAGTGTGTAACGCACCAGTGACAGCATCGCGAACATGAGAGCACGTCCTACGTCGGCGTTCAGAAGCTCCACCTCGTCTTTTTGAGCCTCGACGGATCAGACAACGGAGACCAGATCGTCTCCGCGATCTCGATAATCCGAATTCGCATCCACCACGAACCGTTCTATCGACACGTCGCGGTCTCTTCGGTCGCCGGACAACGCGCGCTCGCGCATACTCTCCACGATCGACGACACGCACATCGCGATTCGTTCTCGTATTCGGTCCATTGTCGATTCACGAGCTCGTTACCGCTTCGAAGTTGCACCGCCGTCGAGCCGAGGTCTCCGATCTCGCGATCGTCCGTTTCGTCGATCGACGAGGAGTCCAGTTTTCGAAGTTGCGCGAGCGAATCGACGCTTGCTCTCAGTCGTTCGAACATGTCCATTAGTGCTTCGAACTACACGTAGAGTCGCTTGCCGTGGCGCTCATCGGCGCAGGTTCGTCGACGCGCGCCACCGCTGATCATCACTCGTAGCCAACCGAGAGCTTTCTCCGAGATTCGTCCTCGCGACGCGGCGTTAGTTCACAGCAACTTGCCGACAAGTCTCGTTCGAACGTCCTACACCGAGATTGCGCTCTCGTCGCGAATGCGCGTTGACCAGGCCACGGACGACGCTATGTACATTCGCGTTACAGTCACCATGATGGTGGCCACTAATTTGTCGACCGTCAAACGGTGACATCTCCGCCGAAATTCGTTCAACAACGCGGAATCGGGCACATCGGGCATTCGCACGTGAATTCGCACGGCGTTTGCGTCGCCGCTCACCATGAAGTTCATGACCAGATACGTCAGCAGAAGCGACGATCGCACCACGAACAACAGCGTCGATTGCGTCTGCAGACCGGTGGTGACTATCGCATCTCGCAGCACGATGGATACGCAGCGATCAAAGTCGCAACCGGCGGAATCGTGCCAAGCGGCGAGAGTCTCCTCGACGGCTCGCTTGTTCGGTTTGAAGAGCGCGCGACGACAGTACTCGTTCACATTAACGTTTCGACGCAGTTGATCGGAGTTGCGAATGAACGCGAACACGTACTCGAGAGATTGTTTCGCCACGTCGAGGATGTACACCCACGGTAATCGATTCTGTCCCTTGGAAATTTTCACAAACTGAGAAGACCACGTTTCTACACTACTCACAGTCCATGCACGATTAACTAAATAAAATAACTAGAGCTTACGCTCGCTTATGGATGATTGAGGCCTGGTCTACAATACGTGTCGTAAGTTGTAAGCCGTAAGAATTGGCGAATCATAGTCAATTGTTATAAAAATAATCGGCTATAATTAGCCAGTTCTTACGGCTTACAGCTTATATCTATTATAGACCAGGCCTCAATCCTCCATAAGCGAGCGTAAGTTTTATTAATCGTTATTTTATTAATCGTACATGGACTGTGAGTAGTGTAGAAACGTAATCACTTCTCAGTTTGTGAAAATTTCCAAGGAACAGAATCGATTACCGTGGGTGTACAGTTGATTGCGCCGAGTCGATTCGTCGCACTCGGGAGCGACAGCACCGATCACGCTCGGATCGGCCAGCATGTTCTTGACGCGCGCAGATACTCGCGCACGGACACCTTGAAACC